CTACAGAGAAACCCAGGGCCCAGAACCAGATCTCTCCCTGCGGATGCTGCATCCATCTCCCTGCACTCCTCTTTCTTTGCAAGTTCTTGCTATGCAGCTCCCCGCAAGAGGGAGCTGGATCCTGGCGAATGCTTTCAGCATGCCCCAGCAGCTCAAAGGGACCAGAAAAGCCACCTCCTCTTGACCCCAGCCTCTTTCTAAGGGGAAAATGACAAATCATCTGTTTGAGCTGACATCTATTAGAGCTGAGACCTGGCAAAACAAAAAATCGAGAGGATTTTACACTGCTTGGAAATATCAAACTGAGCCACAGCCCCGTACGTAATGATGGTAAAAGACTTCACAGAGCGTTTGGCTAAGCTGCTGTAGAAGCCAAGGGCCCTGATACTTCAGAATTCAAAATAATAACAAAATAATCTTTATAGACATTTGAACAACTTTTTATATTTTTATTTCCCCCATATCAACAGGATTTAAACTGCTGTTTGTATTAGACAGCTGAGACTAGTAACTACGTACTTAGTACTTAGCGCAAGTGTCACCGGACAACTTGCTGTTGCTGTCATACCTGCTATTCCCAGGTACTCAGGTTTCTGTTTTCCAAAGAACGAGACAGGGAACTGCGCGAAACGGCCACAGGGAAGCCCCAGCTCTGAAGGCTGCAGGAGGGGATGGTTCTGCCCTGTGCCAAGCACGCCCTTCCCGTTACTCTGAATTCTTGACAGGAGCAGGCAACCCACCGGGAACAACAAACGCCGCCTCATCTTCCCTCAACACGTGAGCAACAATTTTTGTGGGGACAGCAGTTGAGTTCTGTTCTCCCCTCAGGGACCCAGAAACGCTCCCGATGCCACCGAGCCACCCTGCAGTCGGAACAGGCTTTAGCAGGGGGGCAGGAGCTGGGGAAGGTAAGGTATGTTGCTGGAATCCAAACCGGGTACAGGGTTGATTTCTTCCACGACTGGATATCCAGCTACATCAAAGCAGAAACGCTGTATGAGATTTTATTTCCTATTTTGCATTCACTGGCTGCAGTACACAAATGTACAATTAAAAGCAATGAAGTTGTATATAGAAAAAGCTAAATGTTTGTTCAAATTGAGCCAATTGATTTCCTAGAAACCAAGTTAAAGAGACTACTTCTAAATGTCATTACGGAAAAGCCTTTTGAAACGTCGCTCTTCTGCTACCGAAGATGAGAGGAGATCCTCTCGGCAGGAGAGGATGCGGGGACGCGAGGGCTGCGCTACAGCCACTGAAGGGGGCTTTTTTAAAATCTGCTGAGCAAT